GCACACCACTGTGAGAGTGAGAATATATTTCTAGAACGTGTCACTGCAGAGAGCGTGCCTACAAGCAAAGATGGCACAATACAAATATCAGGATCCGGTGGTTCTCTCTCTCAGCTGGTGTCTCTTACGGCCGGACAAGAAAGGGAGCGATACCCTGTGAGCTATTCACTTATAGCAGTCTGAGGTCCCATATCTGCGGTGACCCTAAATATATCGGGACTTGACCAAGCTTTTTCTGTCCTTCCCTCCCCGAGCACCTTCAACATGGTAATCTCTAAGAAAAGAATTCAGCCTTTTAAGATCTCACAAAGACATACCGCACTAGCCCAACCAAGCATCACTATATAACTAAGTTACTTAAGTTGCTCTACAAAATCAACATTACTAGCACATGGCCTAGAGGTCGAGGTTGGCCACGATTCGCGTAGATTTCCCTTGTGGCCCAAACTCGAGCCCACTTTTGACCGATAGGACCGTTGGGAAATGAGGGCCTATAAGGGGGACACCGCCCTTTGGCGGGAACTCTTGTGCTCGAAATTTTGGTATGGCATGATTTATCCTCACACTCTCTTTCCATTCCCCTTTGAGCGATTGGGCATCATGGGATTCCTACTATCAAGGGTTATCTCAGTTTGTAAGTGTTCTCGGAGGGGCATTCTAGGTAAACGCAAGTAAATCGTCCAGGAAGGTGAGCCACATTGTGGTTTCTGGTTGCCCGATCTTGGAGTTGCTTTCATCCTCGAAATATTATCATTACAATTCTGAGCTTTGTAATACGCCTCTATCTGTATCAGGAATCACCCTTTTTTCTCTGCGGAGAGGTGGTCATTGCCGGTGGGGTCAACCATTTTCCCACTGGATGTCAACCCTTCGTAACTATTAGAGTAAAGAATTTCACATGGGTTCCAGTGTGTAGACGGATGACTTCAGGCACTAATTTCGGAGTATCTTACACTATAAGCCTAGTCCCCCAGAGAACGAAGAATAGTAAGCACTGCTAGGGGTATCTTGACAGATGATAGCTGATGATATTGCATGAGGATAAAGTGTAGAGTTGATAGTGTAGAGTCGATAGCTCTTCACCCCTTATCTAATGGAGACCAATATATCATATTGGGGCACAGGATTATGTGTAGCTTCCCGTGGTGCTAAGGCTCTCGGGAGGCTAACCTCCACGCCACTATGGTAACTATTGATCCCGCTAGTAATTTAACATCAACCTGGGTCTCGGAGAGAAAAGCATCTAGAACAATTGTTTAGGGAGAGGGCCGAACTACAGAAAGAAGTCAACCTTTGCAACTGCTGAGAAACCAGCCTTGGCCACCCTCGATGGGCACCAAGTTTTAGCCCATAAACTGGCAATTCTCGCCATTCTTCCTTCTCGGAATCCCGCACATGTGTATCACCAAGTGCACAAACCCTGTTTGATTCAATCGGGCTGTGGGCCCGACCGGAAACTTGTGGTATGATGGCCTAGGGAGATTGGAGGAGACCTCTGTGGTAGCGCAGCTCTAGCCCTGCAAGTCAATGATCGGGATGGGAGATTCACCTGTTGGGTGGCGCCGCCAACCCCCAGGCTCCCTATAACAACTGTAATGAGATAGCCTATACTCTATGCTGAAATTCAAGCTGCTTGCATTAAAGCTCAGGGTAAGTCACAGTACTAAAATTATTGAAGGAAATATGTTGATATAGAGCAGTTCCTATATGAGAGCGTGCATACCAATCAGACGTAACTGCAGGTCGACCCTATCCATTCACAACATCCACCCCAATCACCTCCACAGGAACTTTTAATGCACAGCACTTATTTCGTGGAACACCAATAAGCAGCCGTGGAATGGGCTAGGGTATGGCTTCCCTGCAAACCTGTCTGACGGAGTCCACTGAGGTAGGCCCTTCCCATATTCCTTTTCATCTACACCCCATCCAGTAATAATCCTCATGCAACCAAAGCGCTTTATGAACTCACGCTTTGGCATAAGTCTTAGAATCTATCTCCGTCTAGTCCCTAACTGTTGTGAGCTCCCCAGTGGAGTGCTAACCGTGCAGAACATCAATATTTTCTTTCTTGAGCCCTTGAATGTTTCTTTTCTGAAGCGCGCAATTGTCCCCGGGCTGTTCGTTATTAGGTGTATTTCATTAGTGTTTTCGAGTTGAGTTGTCTTCCACTACCGTGTTCTGCAACCCGCTCCGGACAGTGTCTAGCGAATTACGGTATTGCCTCCTACGAGAACTTTAGAGGCATCGCCTTGAACTATTGGACAATGGGAGCGAAATCCAGCTTCCAAAAATAAACAGATGAAAAGAAACAAATAATGGCATTTGAAGGGTCCTTGGGGTCTTGAAAAGCAGACGTCAAAGAGTAGTTACTACCCATTAATAATTGTCAGCAATTTAAAGGTCCCGTTTGAGTGATTGAAACAGAATGGAGGAAAGCAGTAAAATGTGCCAAAATACATCGAGTCAATGCTGTCTACGATTAACTGCGCCGCGTTTAACAAAGGATGAGCTAGTAGCATCAAGTGCCCTTAGCCAACGGGGGAAATTTAGAGGGATTCTCTAGGAAGTTGTGGCCGTAAAGGCCATTCCCGTATAGTCCTTGGGGTGCCTGGCTCCTGCGAAGTTCACAAGCCAAACCGGAAGCCGGCAGCCGGGACTAGGCTAGGTTGAAGGGGTGATAGAGCGCATAATGTAGATAGTTCCACTGTGTTTTTAGCCCCATAGTGCATAGTGGTATTCCGAATAGGACTCTGGCAAGTTTTGATAGTGACATATATACTAGAAGCTAATCTAGCCTTTTCCCCGGGGAACATCGCCTGTTCAATCCATATTTCTCGTGATTCGCACCAGCCAAATAAACCGCATAAAGAGGCTACCGCGATATATAATATTTTCAACCGTAGGTTTGGCATTGGCTTTCAGCTTTAAATAGACAAGGCATCGCTGACACCGCGCTAGCCTTGTCCGCGACTTGATTTATGTATGCCTGTAATAGCCTGGGAACTCCGCAATAGTGCCATCGGGGACGGTTAATCCGCCCTAGCAGTACGGTATCGTCGTTTGGAAAAGGAAAAAATGACCGACAATACGAAGAGATGCAACTCCAACATCCTAGTATGAGGCCCGCTTATTCCAAGATTCAGGGTATGATACCATTCCCCAAGATCAAGCAACAGGCAGTGAGAGAGTGCAAGTGGCCAAACTCCATGCAAAACCTATGGGGAAGTCTCGAGTGGAGCAGGCATCTCAAGAGATCTTGCTCAAAATATAGTCAAACACTGGCCAGAGAACTACGAACCCAATCCTCCACCCCGAAGGAAAAGAAGTAAGTCCTGAACGAGTGTGACACTCGACACAGTAAAATTGCTAGATTCACACCCTCGGGGGGCATTAACCAATACCACCCAGGGAGTTGGTCCAGGGCCTGAGCTAAGCCAAGCGAATCGCCTTGTCCCCCCTCATCTTAGGGAAGAGAGAATAGAAAGAAGAGGAGTAGATGGTGCAGGGAGAGAGCCTCAGAGAGGGCGGTAGAGGGAGGGAGCTTGTCGAAATTTAACAGATACCATGCCAATGAAGTAAAACCTCAAGTGGGTGCAGTAACACGCTTATTAGAGAAGGTAGAAAGACCCCCAGGATCTAGGCCTACTTGCAGGATAAGGAATCTTCAGCCAATTTTTGTCGGAGGTGTGATATCTATTGGCTTCTGGGCTGCGCTCTGACATCTATCACACACCACTTATCCCACTGAACAAACGTGCTGAAGAGTAGAAAGATAAAGAAAACAAATCTAATTTCTGTCCCGAAGGATACCAATATGTTCACGAGAATCTCATCCCACAAATTCTGCGTTTCCACCAAAAGTGTGGAAGCCTCAGGGAAGGCATTCAGGCTATCGGACATAGCGTCAGCTGTCATACGTCCGCATGCACCTGACAATACTGGCTAAAGCATGGTTTCAGTACTTGAGTTAGGTAAAATCCTCACGCTACCCCAATTCAATAGAGAAGGGTTGGGCACTGTTCAAATATAAGTGTCAGAAGGCAGCCTAGGGGAGGAAAAGAGCGCCAAAGAGGGAGGAAGAGTTGGTTGTTTCAGCACAGGGGGTATATGGAGAGCTTCTGTGGAAGCACGTTTATGATGACGTGAATTGTTTGCCTCAACGCAGTGTAACATGTATTCGACGCAATGGTAGGCCAGCTCAATGGTAAAATGTATGTAGTTACCATTTCCTCTCCTTTAATTCCTCCCCAGAACTTAGTAGTTACAGGAGGGTTGTTTTGACGATGATTAAAATGGTAATCTTCGTAGCCGCCAAGAACTGTGTCGGGGTTGCCAAACGACCTCTCCGGTCAGCTGTCAGGAGGCATCGAGTGATGGATAATGCTTAAGGCCTAACCCGTGAAATGCTCTCCCCAAAGTACATGGCAGGCACAGACTGTTAGTAGTAGTGAAAGCAATCGTCTTGTAGTAGACAAAATCGAAGGTGGGAGGTGGTTCTGGGCCAGGCACTGGGGGGGGCTTCCGTGAGTTAAGGTCAATATACCCGGAATGATCAATCTGGAAAAGAAACTAAATTGGCAATTTAGGTAACTGTCATTGTGGATTACAGATGTAGTATGATAGCTGTGGTGGAAGAGTTGCAGAGCATCATAGACTTTAGTGTCAAAAAGAGAAATAAAAAAGGCAAAAGAAAGATGTATGATAACGAAGAATCCTGCAGTTCGTGCCCTTCTTGCAAGGAAACAAGGAAATGGGTTTAACCGATGCCTCGTGGTGGGTCACTACGTAGGCTTTTTCCGTTTGCGTGAGTCTTCAATGATATATAATACATCGTCTCTCCAACCCGGCACCTTTTCCCCTCGCACCTAGCGCCTTCCGGAGGTCCCTGCCTTCTCGTTTCCCACGCTTCTAACTCTTTCCACCGCCCAAATTCCTCCCATATCTCTTGCTCTCCCCAGCCGCGACCGCTCTCTCTGTCCCCACCCCCTTCTTCCACCACAGTCCCCAACACCTTTTCTTCTTCCGCTCCACCAGCTCACATCATTCCTGCGAAACCGTTTTTAGTGCCCAAACACAAATATGGAGCCTACCAGATTGAAACAATCCTCCTCTGCCCCGACCATCCGTTACTCGATCGAGGAGCTTCTTGAGTATCGCAATTCACTAAGCCATGTTATCTGTCCAATTGATGGATTCACTCTAGTCGCATGGGCAGAAGGACTATTGGACAAGGTAATAGGTCCCACTATGGTCTACAATCCACGATTTTCCGGAGAAGACGACCCTTCCCAAAAGGAGCGCTTATATTGACAATTTTTTATATAGATTGGGGACTACGTACCGCAGGAACTAGCTGCCCGCAAGCAGTATGCCAAAAAGGTTACTGCCGTACAAGGTAAGCAAAGTCAGCCCGTCATTCCAGCGCCTCGTTCAGAGCCAAAAGGAAAATAGGAGGCAAACGGTGCAGGCAGCTAACCCTTTCAACATTATGTCGACAGAAGAAGCCGAACCCGAAGGGCTATCAAAAGATGGTGAGACCCGAGGAGTGTTCAGTGACAGCTATCACCCAAATCGCCGGGTGGCACTATTTCTTGCTTACTGACCAATACCTAGCTATAGGGATTGCGGAAAAACGCAGGATTGAGTACGCCGGTTTAACGTTTGCTGATTTTTTGAACCTTGGCAAGTACGGATCTCCCACGAGCAGCCAAGAGGAATCTGTCTCCGGTTCTCACTCCGAGAAAAGACAAGTGACACCACCGTTTGTACAAGTAAAGTCCTATATTCTCCCAAAAGAGACAGGTCCCAAGGGCGGAGCCTCTGCCATTGGCCCAATTCAGAAGGACACTCACAGCCGGCCCACTCCCGGCATGGGAACTGGGAAACCTAGCACTACGAGAGAGAGCGTTGAGGATAGCCTGGACGGGGAAATTCAGGCCAGTTCTCATGACGAAGTTCCGAAAGCCACTCCTTTTGGAGAAGCCGTGGAAGAGCCTAAGGAGTCTGGGGATATTGTCGACCAGGACGCCTGGATCAATGTGGGGATCCACCCAATTATTTTCCGCACAACCTAAACTAATGCGTGGTAATACTAGGAAATGCTCGAACGTACCAAGATTTTCGCCGGCAACAAATATAAGAGAACCTAAGTACGAGTTGGGATCTTCCTGTATCTTACGTTATCCGGCCTGTGCTGCCAAATAGCTACGGGGACGCTGGCTGATAGGTATCGTAGCGGGTTTCGTGTCTTTCAATTTTGCTCCTTGCTTCAACGGGTGTGTTAAATCAAAATAAATAATCAAAATCCAGCGACCAAAGCGAATCCGTAGCCTGGCTATAATAGATTAACCAAGCATCTTCGCGCACCTAGTTAGTACGTACTTCAGAAGTTATTGGGTCGTGAGCAAGGGTAAAATATCTCTATGTTTTCAGAGAAAGACGCCTAAAACAATTGGAAAAACCATACAATACAGATACCGGTTATGCTTGCATCGGCAAACGTGAAATTAAGAATCCAAGAAAAGAATTAAAGAGTAGCTCCCAAACAAGTATCAATCACGGAAATCCGAGCATCGGCGGAAACTATCATGGCGGTTATCCCGTAAAATGCAACAAAAACAAACAACCCTAGCTCTTCAATGCCTCCAGTCGCTCTCTCATATCCTCGAGACCCATCTCGGAGCCCTCTTCGACCTCCTCCTCCTTCTCGAGTTGTGAAGGAACGGTACCGGTTTGCTCCAGCTTTCCACCCATTATCTCTCCAAGTATCTTTCCCACCTCAGTCTCCACCTCTTCGTCATCCTCCTCAAGGGCATCATCGGGTAATGAATCAGCAATCATCTCCTCAATAATGCCGGCCCTAACAAGCTCCATGCTCAACTCCCTCATTGTTCCGGTCAACTCGGGCAGCCTCACAAGACTGTTTACATCCTTCATAACACCTGTAGAAGCTTTAATGCTGCCCTCAATCTTTCTCACCGAGAAGGCCTCGTTCACTTGCATCCCTACCGACTGAAGTTGAGCCTTGGAAGTAGCCAATCTTGAGGATTGCCGTCGGATGCGGACGAGTTCACGCGCAAGGATGCGGGTTTGCTGCGCACTGCTACTGGATTTTGAATTTGAGGTGTCAAGTATCATCTTCTTGGTCTTTGTTTCGAGGAGCCGGAGGCTTTGCATATGTCTGTCGAGCTCTCGAGCGTTCTTGCGAAGTAGGGCGTTACATTTCCGCAGCTGTGTCTGTTAGCCACTTCCCAAGCTGCGAGGAGGGTGGATGGGAGGTTTTACCTGGACGGCTGGATCGGGTTTCCAGAAGATTGCCTTAAGTGATTCCATGAGTCGGTTATCGGATGGTTGGAGAGCTCTCGGGAGGGGGGCGAGGTTGTAGACTGTGCGTGACGAAGCTCGATTCCCTGGCGTTTGTGTTGGCTTGCCGAGACATCCCGGATGGGGTCCCGGGCTAAGGATAACTGGGCTCGCGGCTCAGTGACTTCGATTAGTTGCCCAAAACGGTAGTTTTAACATGTGTGAGGATGAGATGGACAGAGTTAAACCGATGACAGGCGGTTATTGATGGTGGGGGAAAAAGTTAACCCTCAGCTCCTAGCTGTGGGGGGGATTTTCGTTCGATTCAATTCCCCGAGCTTCGCCCAAAACGAATGAAATAGAAAGAGAGAGAAGAAAATACTAAATTCACAAAACAAAGACATCACTCAATAAGAGGCAGCCGCATCCAGGTTACCCTTCAAGAAGATTCGATAGGAACAAACTAACCCTTCTTTCTGCACAACTCAACCCACCCTACTCGTACCCTCACTACAGCAATAACTTAATCACCACCAGCCTCTTGTAACGAGCCGACCCAACTCTTCTCCTCTCCTCTTCCCCCTTCTCTGCCCCCCCCCCCCTTCAACTGGTCTATCGTCTACACTTTAACTTTCCACCTCTACCAAATATGTCTTTACCAACCACCATTCCTGAAGGTATGCCTCTCCCACATGCCCCGCTGTGGCTTTCCCCGCCGATAACCCCCACCTTGAACAACAAGTCCGTGGGGGGGTCTTCTAATCAATCGCAATATGCATACCCCCAACGGAACTGTTCTAGTCACTTTCTTCCACTGCTTGGAAAAAGCTCTTATCCATATATAACCGAGGATGACTTATGCTGACACGATGCAGTTCTTTGGGCCCAGCGTTCCCACGAGGAAGATGGCACCAAAAACATCATCTATCTCACTATAACAGCACCAGACTGTCCCCCGGACTCTGTTGAATTGCAACTTGAGCCAACGAAGGTCCACTTCAAAGGAAGCAGCAAAATTAAAACTTTCGCTTTGGATCTAGAGCTCTATGCGGAGATTGATGTCGATAACTCGAAGCAACACTTGAGTGCCCGAGGCGTTGAACTTGTCCTTCGTAAGAAGGAATTTAAGGCGGAATTTTGGCCAAGACTTTTGAAGGAATCCAAGAAGGCACATTACCTTAGAACCGATTTTGATAAGGTTTGTTGATTGGTTTAATTGCTTCGATTATATCCGGCCCGATGTTAACTGGCCGATCTGTGATTAGTGGGTCGATGAGGATGAGCAAGAGGATGAGGCATCTGGTTTTTCTGATATTCCCGGCGGTGGTGCTCAATTTGGCGGTGGTGAGGATTCTGGCGGTTTCGGTGGCATCGACTTTTCGAAGCTCGGAAACATGGGAGGTATGGAAGGCATGGATATGAGTGCCCTCCAAGGCCTCGAAGGAATGAACGCTGCCTCCGGTGGTGCCGATGATAATGGCGATGTGAGTTTCCTAGATTTAAGAACCGCTACGAATAAACTAACTCTCCCCAGGACGACATGCCAGAGCTTGAAGACAGTACCCTCGAGAAGTCTGAGGCTGCTGAGGCTACTCTCGCTACTGAGGAGGCTCCCGAGGCTACTGCTCCCGCCGCTGAGGGTGAGACATCCCCAGGAATTGAGGAGATCTCGGAGGACAAGAAATGATTGTACCACGGAGTTTCTCCATGAGAAGTATCGGCATCAATTGCCAAAAAAAAAAAGTTACAATGCCTTGAATTCAGAGTGTGGAATTAATGCATAAGCGATTCTGCCAATCAACGTGCTTCCCCCGTGGTATATCGTAAGGGCTGTGGGGTTTTTTGTATTTGAGGGTAATTACGCGTGCACAGGTTATTATTTGTCTTGAACCTGCCCATTCCCATGCAGGTATTAGGAGCTATCATTGATGGAAGAGTAAGATGACTTGATGGAAAGCTGGTAGTAAGCCTTCTGCGATTACTTCTCGAGTACGGTAATCTCCAAGGACCAGTGGGTAACTTAGGTGAATTATCGTATCATAGGAAAAAGAAAAGAAAACAGTGTAGTCCAGTTGAACAACCCCTCTTCAGGCATCCACAGCTCCTCACTTTCCTTTAAAGGCCACCCCGACCCCACCACGGAATCAAGAAAAGAAAAGAAAAAAAGAGTAAAAGCTCCTCGTAAATGCAGCACAAATCCACCCCGCCTCGTGAACAAGGAAATTTTCACTCAAACCCAGGCGCAATGCCGAAAAAGAAAAAGAAAAAGAGAAAGCACACATCTAGAGAGCACCCGGGAAAAGGGGGATGGCATTTATGTGATTCGGGTGCTTCCATAGCTCTTCAGATTGCTATCGCCATCGCCTTCGAGAGCTTGAGTTTCTTTACGAAGTGCACTGAGGTCGAAGGAGCCGTCCTCCTCGCCAGAGGATTCTTCGTCTTCGCTGTCGTTTCTCCAATCGCCCTTCTCGAACAGTGCCCTTCCGGTTGCTTCTTTTGCCCTCCGGGCTTCCTCCTCAGCCTCCTTCTTGGACATACGTTCGGATTTCCATTTTTTGAAGGTCTCTTCGGTTACGGGGGTCAGTGCACCAGTGAGTTCATGTCTAAGCGTTGTCAGCACCCGTAAACACTATAATGAAGAGGAAAGGGGAAAAAGTGGAGCAGCTTCCTACCGTCGAGCTTCTAGGAAGTCTTCCAATGTAAGTGTTGCCAGAGGAGACTTGTCCATCAATGCTTTTTCCGCAGCTCTCTGCTCCTTTGTCTTTAGGACGAAGCCAGGAGGCAACGAATGTTTATATTTGCAATCATTACCACCATTTGGACCTATAACTATTAGCTCTCCGTTACATTGCTTTTCCGACAAAAAAAAAAAAAGAGAAAAAGATTAGCAGGACTCCATACACTGCCAGAACCACCCATACTTTCCGTTCTCCACTGCCTCAATAAAATGCTTGCAAACCTTATCAGTAGTGGTCTTCGGATTCCCGTGCTTGCTCAAGACAACACTGCGTAGTTTCTCCTCGTCCCAGTTATCGCTCGTCTCTTCCTTCTTCTTCTCGTCCTCTCCTTCCTCCCCTCGGGAATCCTCGTAAAGATTCTTCTTCTGCGACTTGCGTTCAATACTCAGGTCGTGAGAGAACTTGCACTTGCGGCCCTTCTCGCAGTTGCCATTCTTGTAGTAGACACATAGCACGCTCTTGGGGTCCACGCCGAAGGGAACCTTCTGGGTTTGCACGGGTTTGAAAAGTTCGGCAACTTCCTTCTTTGCCGCCTCGGCCGCTCTCTTCTCCGCTTCCCGCTGGGCTTTTTCCGCCTCTTTGCGTTTCTGCTCGGGGGTGCCGGACGCGGAGGCTTGTGAAGTTAACTGTGCTATTTGTTTTTGGGCTTTTCCACCTTTTTTCTGCTCCTCGTCAGATGGCTCCAATTTCGTCTAAGGGTAAAATAAAATGTTCGGGTGGGTAGTTGAAGACGACGCACGTTCTTGAGGCCGAATGTCTGGACGTGGAGAGTTTTAGCTTCGTGATGTTTTCCATGGTACCAGGAGACGGGGACTTGCCTTGTCCTGAACCACTTTCTGGACGGAGGGTTTAGCGTTCTTGCCCTCTTTCTTTGGTGGCATTGGTACTATCTTTTCTCCAGTTCACGACGGTGGACGTATCTATCTATCTGTGCGAGGTGGTGGTCGTGCTGCAGCGTGCGTTGCTCGGATGTCGAAAGTTCGGCCTGTAGAACAACTTGTGTCAAAGTGGGTTCGAGATGCTTGGCAGGTTTTGGAGTGGAGGTTCTTGGTTGCCCCTACCGTAGGAATGGGTGGTATCATAAAGCAGCGGCTGATTTGGTAACAGTGACCGGATGGAGAGTACGGCCGCTTAGGTTTTTGTGAGTACGGTATTGAAGGTGGTGGGAATCTCAATGATGAATCTTGCGAGCGCTGTGGGGGGCACTTGCACACACAAAGACTAACTATAGGGAGCACCGTATCCTGTGTCGGGGCCTCTATCGGTGCCCCCGCTGCACAGAATCCTCGCGCCCAAGATGTACTTAGGTACAGTTGCGTCCGTGATCACATCCTATATACTAGTAGACGAAGGTAGGAAGCTACCACGGCTCACCAGGCTATCTCACCGTGGCGTAGGAATGATTTGCCTCGCTATATTGTCGCCTTTATAAGGTGCCTATGCTTCAATCTGATATGGTCAGGTTTACCCTGAGCATCGCCGTGTGTCATTGCAACCTTGTCACACACCGTAACTTGCTACGAGGAATGGTCCCTTTCTTCTGTGGTAGCACCAATAACCGGGACAATGCAGAAAATCTAGCCCGCAGGGGGACCCGGAGGTACACGCTGCAGTGAGCCCAATTCTCACTAGTTGTTTCGTCTGGATAGTTGATGTCTATGGATCTTGCTTCTCTGGAAGACCACCTCATCTCTTACACTCGCAAAAACCTGCGCTCCTTCCCTCTCCGTATTGTTGGGTTTGTGGGCCCTGCTCTCTGTCGCCGCCACTGACTCTATTTATCTTGGATTGGTTTCGGTGAATATGTCCTGCATCTAGTCTATCTAAATCTACCGTAACCCCTTCGTTGGTTTTCAGGCACTGGCACTAAACGGAGCTAATCCCTCAACAGAGGAGACTAGTTGTAAAGTAACTAAGGTGAGTAAAGTTTGCAATGATGGTGGGAACTATCCTGATGTAAGAGATATGATAAACTTGGAGAGGACATGAAATCTTCTGCTTCTGACAACCAGAGACTCAGGCTTGAATGAAAAAAGATAATATTCTCAGACTTATTCCTTCAGGATTCAGGTAAATTTAACTATCCCCTCCAATATATAATTTATGTTTCAGGACAAGAGCACTAATAGATAACCTTACTAGATAATGAACTGGCAACGGAATAAACCCCTTCTGATATGGTATAGCCTGTAGTAAAAGAAATCAGAAAACTCAGGCTCAAATTATGGTTTCTCAATTGACTCAAGTTACTAAATATACTTATCAAAACTGTAGGATCTATCTAGTCTCAATTCTACATTTTTCAATTGTCTTCTACCCAAAAGGCTCTATAGTTGGATATAATTAGCTTGAACAATCGAAATCTGAAGAAACCTGTCAGGGGGTAGGTAACTCTCAAGTCAAGCAAGTATACACTAGGCCCTGTAATCTTCTGTCTCGGAGATATTCAAGATGGCTCGTAAAGATAGAAGTAAAGTAGAACAAATATATTGATAAGATCTCTTCTCCGGTTGCTGATAATAGACTAAAAGCTAGGGATTTTTTTTTTTTTGTTTGACTCGTTTAAATTTTTATTTATGGAACAAAAAGGCATATGGAGCACTAGCTATGATACCTGAAAAACCGCCCTGCCCCAGACCAGGCCGAACGACAGAGCTAAAAGAACCCTCTGGGGTAGAAAAAACTACTCCCACCCGTAATCCTTCCTGTAAACTGGTCCACCCAATAACCCCTACTGCCAAGCGACCAAAGAAAGCTAACTACCTGACAGTGAACCAAGAACCTGCCAAAACCCCGAGAATGAAACAACTAAGAGCATAAACCCAAACCGAACCCCTAAGGGCCAATGATTACAACTCAAATCCGATATAGGAACCCCTAGGCCATATGACAAGGGCCAGGAAGAGGGAGTCGAAGTCCCAGACGTGAAGGATATAAGGGAAACCACCCCGAAGGTGGCGACTGAGAAGTGAGGAGAGGAGGTGTGTGGCAGGCATGCCAGTGACTGTGTGCCCTCCAGGACAATCAACGATTGTGGCAGTAAGGTGCCAGCTTGGGAGGAGGTGGCAGTAGGGTACTAGCCGATCTGACCATAGAGAGGGGGAGAGGAGGGGTAGACCCAAATCCGTGAACAACAACTATCGGTAATCGCGTTGGTGTCCGAATAGGCAGGCTCTTAGGGGAGCAAGAGAACGGAGAGATCGACTGTGGCCTGTAAGCTGTTCTCACCTCTTGCAACTGTAGTCCCGGCCGTCTGTTGAAGTTGGAAAAGGGGGTTGCCGACCATGCCAACGCCTAAGCAAGGCGGGGTAGGAAGAGGAGAAAAATAGTGAAGACGAAAAGAGCCCAACTAAAGATAGAATCAAGAGAGCCAATAAATAAATAAAGGCCGCAAGGGAGAGGGAAAGCGAGCCCACCTCCTGTAGCTGAGGATAGATGGGGGGAGAAGGGAAGGAAGGTAGTGCTGCTAGACCATGAAGGCCATAAGAGTAACTGTGGTGTTGAGTTATCAATTGCCAGAGGTGTAGCGGAGACGGAGGATGGACTTAGGGCTAGAGATTTTTTTTTTGTTTGACTCATTGATTATTTGTTTAGGGTACAAAAAATGTATGGAGCACTAGCGATGATGACAAAAAACCTATATCCCTCCTCTCGCAACAGGAAAAAGCCAACCCCCCAAGCCCCTCTGGTATGGAGACAACCGCAGATCTCGCCTCCACGAAAAGAAACCTAGGCCCGGCTAGAGGGATGAACAAGGAAATCCTAACTAAGAAGAAGGCAGGAAGAGCCAGGAAAACCCACTAAGAAATCCCAAAAAGACAAAAGAAAGGTTAGTAGCAAGCTACTTAGGCCCCGAAGGGTGAGTCTACTCATTCAAACGGGAAGCAACGCCCGAAGCACGCTAAGATAGAAGGCCCTCCCCAGACCCACTCCAAGAATGCAGTGCAATACCATGGAGGGAAGGAGGGGACCAGCGGGCCGTAGGCGATAACCGGGGGGAGAGGAAGGTATAGCAGTAGGGTGCCAGCCGACCTGACCGTAGGGAGAGGAGAGCAGAGGGGTAGACCCAAAGACCTTAAATATCGTCTATTGGTATCGCGTTAGTGTCTGACTAGGCAGCCTCTCATGGGAACAAGAGAATTGGGAGATCGACCGTAGCCTGTTGGCTGTTCTCCCCTACTGCAACTGTAGTCCCGGCCATCTGATGATGGTGGTTAAGGGGTTGCCAACCGTGAGAAGGCTAAGCAAGGCCAACTCAAGAGGAGGAAAGGACTCCCTATCACCCATAGAGGGAGGAGATAGGGGGAGTGAGGGAGATCATCAACAGCCGCCTAGGCGAAGCATGGCTGGGGTTTTACTGCTTCTCTCATGTAGTCCCTTGTTCTGGGAGAGATAGCATCACTGTAGTGGAAGGGATCCCACCACCTGCCAGCCAGCCAAGGACAGGCTCCGAAGGACCATCCCCCAAGAAGAGAAAGGGCCCTGCGACGGTAGACCGAAGTCAATACCCTGGGCGTGAGAAGAGGGAAGAGCCAGACTCCTCTAGGCCGAAGCCAAAGGCATGATTGGGCTGGAAAGTGGTGATGGTTTCGTGATAAAACTAATGGTGTTGAGTTTTCAATCGCCGGAGGTGTAGCAGAGACGGAGGATGGACTTAAGGCTAGGGATTGTTTTGGTTTTTTTGTTTGACTGATTTTGTATTTTATTTGTGGGACAAAAACGGCATATACAGGGCTAGCTATGACACTTGAAAAACCGCCCCCCCCCCCCGGACCAGGCCGAACATCAGAGCTAAAAAAACCCTTTGGGGTAGAAAAAAATACTCCTGCCCTAAATCCTTCCCATAGACCACGAACCAAGGACCCCTACCACCAAGCAACAAAAGAAAGCTAGCTACCCGACATTGAACCAAGAAAGTGCCTAACCCCAAGAACAAAATATCTAAAGGCAGAAACCCAAACCGAACCCCTAAGGGGCAATGGCCACAACTCAGATCCATCATCGGAAGCCCTAGATCATATGACGAGAGCCAGGAGGAGGGAGCCGAAGCCCCGGGCGTATAGGATATAAGGGAAACCACCCCGAGGGTGGCAACCGAGAAGCGAAGAGAGGAGGTGTGTGGCAGGCATGCCAGCGACTGTGTGTTCTCCGGGACATTCCATGATGGAGGCAGTGAGGTGCCAGCTTGAGAGGAGGTGGTAGTAGAATGCCAGCTGATCCGATGGTAGAGAGGAGAGCTAAGCGAATCAGGTGTTTTACCGGGTCTCTCATGTAGTCCCTTGTTCTGGGAGAGATAGCGTCACTATAGTGGAAGGGATCCCACCACCTGCCAGGCAAAAAGGCACAAAAGAGTGGAGGAGGGGTAGACCCAATTCCGTGAATGACAACTATGGGTAACCGCATTCGTGTCCAACTAGGCAGCCTCTTACGGGGGCAAGAGAATGGAGAGATCGACCGTAGTCTGTAAGCTGTTCTCTCCTAATGCAACTGTAGGCCCGGCCATCTGTTGAAGGTAGAAAAGGGGGTTGCCGACCGTGTCAACGCCTAAGCGAGGCGGGGTAGAAAGAGGGGAAACATCACGAAGATGAGAGGCCTCAACCAGGGATGGAACCGAGGGAATCGAGAAATAAATCAGGACACCAAGAGAGAGGGGAAGTGAGCCCACCTCCTATAGCCAAGGCTAGATGGAGTGAGATGGAGGGGGGGTGGTGGTGCTGGACGATGAAAGCCACGATAGTAATTGCGGTGTTAAGTTTTCAATCGCCAGAGGTTTAGCGGAGACGGAGGATGGACTTAGAGCTAGGGATTCTTTTTTTTTCTTTTTTTTTTTGACTCATTTCATATTCTGAGTATGAGACAAAAATGGCGTATAGAGCGCTAGCTATGACGGCTAAAAAACCGCCTCCCCCCCTGGACCAGGCCGAATGACAGAGCTAAAAAAACCCGTTGGGGTAGAAAAACCTACTCCCACCCGAAATCCTTCTAATAAACTAGGAACCAATCACCCCTACCGCCAAGCAACAAAAGAAAGCTAACTACGCGACAGTGAACCAAGAACGTGCCCAACCCCAAGAACGAAACACCTAATGGCAGAAACCCAAACCAAACCCCTAAGGGCTAATGCCCACAACTTAAATCCATTATAGGAACCCCTAGACCATATGATGAGGGCCAGGAGGAGAGAGCCGCAGCCCCGGGTGCATAGGGTATAAGGGAAACCACCCCAAAGGCGGCGACTGAGAAGAGAGGAGAGGAGGCGTGTGGTAGGAATACCAGCGACCATGTGTCCTCTGGGATAACTGACGATTGAGGCAGTAAGGTGCCAGCTTGAGTGGAGGAGGTAGTAGGGTACCAGCCAATCCAACAGTAGAGAGAAGCCCTAAGTGAAGCAGGTATTTTATCACATCTCTCATGTAGTCCCTTGTTCTGGGAGAGATAGCGTCACTGTAGTGGAAGGGCTCCCACCACCTGCCAGCCAAACAGGCCACAAAGAGTAGGGGAGAAGTAGACCCAATTCTGTGAACAACAACT